GATGAGCATTTTTTCATATATTTGTTGATTGATTGTATACCCTCTTCTGAGAAGTGTCTGTTCAGGTCCTTGGCCCATTTATTGATTGGATTATTTGTTTTTTTTGATACTTGTTGAGCTCTTTATATATCCTAGAGATTAGAACTCTATCTGATGTGTGAGAGGTAAAAATTTTTTCCCAGGATGTAGGCTCCCTGTTCACCTCACAGATTATTTCTTTTTCTTTTTAGTTTAAATCCATCCCATTTGTTGATTCTTGGTTTTAATTCTTGTGCTATAGGAGTCTCATTAAGGAAGTTGGAGCCTAGCCCTATGTGATGAAGATTAGGGCCTACTTTTTCTTCTATTAGACGCAGAGTCTCTGATTTTAAAAAGTAGAATATTCTTAGCCCTTCTTTGAAAATACCTTCACCCTAGTAACTTAATCTATATAACTACCATTGTATAATTTTAATTCTTAAGGATACCACTGAGGGGCTGGGGTTGTGGCTTAGTGGTAGAGCGTTCGCCTAGCACGCGTGAGGCGCTGGGTTCGATCCTCAACACCACATAAAAATAAATAAAGTAAAAACTGCATTGACAACTAAAAAATATTTTTAAAAAATTTAAAAATAAAAAAGAATACCAATGAGCAGGCCTTTGTCCCCAGACAGAAGCATTGCTGTCTTGCAGTTTAAGGATGTTTTCTTCTCAGAGTGACCCATGGGAGAGCAGTGACAAGGATGCCCTGAAGGAACACACAGAAAGGAGCCCCAAGGTGGCAGATGCTGGCAGAGCACCACAGGACCTTCTCGGTGGTTACCTACACTGCATATGCTAGCACCACATTACTTCAAACGCTTGTTTTCTTAAGTTTTGTCTTCCTATTTCCTGTAAGGAAATGAATTTCTATTTAGGAAATAACCCCAGATAAGAAAATATTATACTTGAACTTGTAGACCAATATGCAAATTTAAAGAAATAAAAGGTCAAATACACTGGCAAGTTTTGTGATAATTTAAAATGAAGAAAGCCAAATTGGCGGGAGGTGTGTGGGGGGTCTTTTCTACTAAAAATATACTACCCCCTGGGGATCAGGGATTTCATGCTTTTGGGTTCTGAACTACAGGGATCCAGCTATTACATTTTAAAATGGAAGCATTCAGTCCAACCAATCTTTATTGAAAATAATCAACTGGATTATGTAAGAAAACAAAAAATGAATAATAAGTGATTCCCTTCCATGTGTTTTTTTCCTTCTGTGGGAAGAAATAAGATGTATATACAAGTTGTGATCATATAAGTTAAACTATAAAATTAAGGGGGTAGAAAGTAGTTCTTTGCAGGAGACAGAAGAATGTACCTCAAAAGAAGTCGCGATGAGAAGGAAAAAAAATAGAGATTGAATTATATCTTGTAGAGATAGGCAAGGCAATTAAAAGAGCCTGCATAAACATACATCACAAGGACATTCAAGGCACTTAAGAAATTATGAGCATCCTCTTCAGTTTTGTTTCAGCCTTTTAAAGCTCTGGAGAAGATGCAAATCACTATAAAGAAGAGAATAAAAATTACCCAAAATTCTGTTGTTCAAAGACAGATTTTATGATTACAATGTTTTCTTCTACTCATCTTCGTTTGAATTTGATTGAAGTACACATTCTCAATACTGGTTTAACTCTGCTTGGCTTCTGGAGAGATGTAACTGACATTTTAAAATGTGTTCAGTTCACATTATCATCAACTGATGAATGTCCATGTTCCTTTGATAATTCACTACAGCAAACCTCTGTTAAGCCTGTGTAAATCTGGTCATGTACTTCTGGATTCCTGACACTGACTTGAATTCAGGACTGAATCCAATGAAGGATGTGTGGCTCCTAGAGGAAGATCACCTCAGATTCATTCCTGTTCATAAGCCAACAAGTAGCTGCATAGAACTGTACATTTTCTGCAGCATAGTAAATACTTCTTGACTTGAAATACTACTTTTTGCCCAAAAATGGAAATTTTTTCATTCCCAAATTTAATGATTATTTTAAAATTCAAATGATACAGATAAGAATAAAGTAAAAATTACCTGGGAAAAAGTACTGTCCAGATATATCATTTTAGCAAATATATTCTTAGCCTTTTTTTTAAATAGTAATGGTTTATTTTTTTTTCTTATTCAAAAAGTTATGAGCATCTTTCTATATCTATAAATAACAATCAGTGCTTTACGTTTTGATACAAATTACTAAAATGCTCTGCTCCCGCAGTTAGGCCATTGATGGGTATCAAGTTACGTGGGAGCAAATTTCATTGAAGTGAAATAGGTGGAAGACCTAAATCATGAACTTTTAAGAAGCAAACACACTTGAAATGCAACATCCAGATCAAGAAACAGAACATTCCCAGCACCTGAGAAGCCGCCCTCATGCCTCCTTCAGTCACTGCTTACCTAAGGATAGCCACTATTTCATAACCTAATTTGTAATCTTCACTCATCTGATTTTTTAAAATATATATATACTTTGTGTTTCTGATTACTTTTCTAAGGTTACTACTTAATTTATAAAATTCACTGTAGGGCCCTGCCTTTGGAAGTTTGATCTCCATAAGAGAAATAAGTGACAACTGTTTATGTTTGAGAAATGCACAATGACTTGCCACAGTTGGAAAAAAGCAAAGATTCTAAAGTATAACCTTTGTGATATATTATTTTCTCAGTAAATACTTAGGTTCCTTTGGAACTGGCACTGAGATGCAAAAAAAATAAATAGCACGTGTTTTTCTTTGAAATGACAAATTTGCGAAAAGACTATAGTACGCTTTGGGACCCGAAAGGATGTTCTCTTTTATAAACAGGAGTAAAGATGTGTGGCTAGAAGCTGCCCTCTACTGGACGCTGCTGGTATGATTTGGGGAAAAGAACTCTCCAGTTTGCCCTGGAGGCTGCCAGCCTTTAAGTCTCTTAAAGCCTACCTGCCTCTAGCTTTTCCTTGCAACTTTTCTTTTTCCTTATGCTGTCTCTCTGCAGTGATAGCAAATTTGGCTTAGCAAGATGTGAGGTTTTCTGTATGACAGGACCTTTATAAACATTCTAGTAAATGACTGGTAAAATGAAATACACAAAAACAATTCACCAGGTTGAATTTCACACATAAACAATGAGATCCAGACCTAGAGCTTAATACCAGAAGAGAGGAAATAACTGGCTGCTGTGTTTCTCCCCAGGAATCGACAAAGAGAACGTTGAACTCTCCCCCACCACTGGCCACTGTAACAGTGGACGAACTCGCCACGGATCCGCAAGCCAAGTGCAGAAGCAAAGAAGCGCTGGCAGTTTCAAACGTAATAGCATTAAGAAGATCGTGTGAAGCTTTCTTTCTTTCTTTTTTCAAACCAACTTAACATGGGCTCTTCACTAGTGAATCCTTCCCTAAGTGGCCCTGTCCCCACATGTTGCGATGCTGCATTTCATATTTTATAACAAACCCATCCAGTCTGCCACATTGCCAGATGATCAACTCTTGAAAGCATTGCCTAAATTTAATGCTGCTTTTTCTTTGACTTTTTTTCTTCTTCTACTTTTGGAGTGTGTCTGGTGTTAGCAAGTGTTCAGAACAACTATAAGAAAGTGGGAAGTCAGGTAACTTGAACTGAGCACATCCCAATTGTGAGAGAGGACAAATTCTTGAATACTGCTACTACTGGCCAGCTATGAAAGCCATTTGCACAGAGCTCTGCCTTCTTTGTTTTCCCGTTCAAAATGAAGTGTTAGTCTTATTTACACACTTTCCAAGAGAGAAGTGTGTGGGAGAAATAATATTATAACCCATGTATGTTTAATCTGACTTTTAGCTGTGGACTTTTTTTTACTTTATGAAACTGAAGGAACCATAGAGGTCAAGCCTCAGTGGCTTCATACCATTAAAGCCACAGGCAAGGTACTTTGGGGGTGGGGTGGGAGAACTTAGTATTTTGTAGTGAATTCTTAAGAATTACTAACACCGAGTATTAGCAATAATTACAGGAAAATAAGTGTGACCATATACATCTTAATATTACTGAATTAAAGCTATGGATTCTGAGGCCTTATCCAAATTCAGTCATCAAAATGATCTCTTTTTTTTTATCCAATTGATTATCCAATTGATCTTTAAATATGCTAAAGCTATATTGTTTTGTTTATTTTTAATTTTTGTAAGCCAACACTATACTAAGTATAGTAATTATACATTTTTTTGTCTCCTCCTCTTCTTTCCTAAATAATTCTGAGCAGGGTAATCACCAAACAAAGTGTTGAAAATTGTTCCAAGAAGGTAATTTTTTTAGACGTTTGCATTAGCTCCATAGCAAAACAGAATGGTACGTGACTTTTAGAGTAGCTGATACTTTTATTTTGTTAAATAATTTTCCAAGAACCAGAATATGCTGTATAGTACATTAATTTCTTTGATAAGACATATTTTAAAAGTCTTTTAATCTTCCCCCTCTCCTCCAAAATATCAGGAATCTTTTTGGGTTCTATATGATAGACTTGCATCTAATCACTGTGAAAAGTCTGGTCAGCCTGCATTTGTGTGAAAATAGGGGACCGTTAGAGTTGCTGCTGTACTGAATGGTATGGATTGTTGTGGCATAGGAATTTCCATGGTAATGCAGATCCAGTTTTTTTGTGGTACCTGCAGTGTGAAAAGTAATTTGACTTCAGTGATCATATTGGTATCTGGATATTCTAATTTAGGACTAAACTATATTTATTACAAAAAATATTATCCCCCCTACTCCTAGGTTCACTTCATATGTTCAGATATAATGGCTTGGGGAGGGGGGGCAAAGAAACCTAGGGAAGAGGGTGGTTTCCTATAGTGCTAGTTCATTAGTGGATTTTGTAAATTAAATTCCACAGCTACTTCAATAAATAATGGTACATTTAAGTATTCTGATTTTAATAATATAACACATTTCACACTATTTACACAGCAACAATGTAATATGTTAATGTAAATAAAATTGCTTTTGATATTCAGAAATAACAAGAATTTAATTTTTTTATTTTGTTTACAGTCCTGGGAAAAGTAAGAACCATTTGCCAAAATAAAAGGAAAAAACTTTAGTATTAATAGTAATTTTAGCAGAATTGTTGGAAAATATTGAAGACAGGTGTAATTAACTAAGCTTTTGTTTTTAACTATTATAGAGGCTGCATTAGAATAAAATGTTTATTATAATAACAGACCATCTTAAGACTGTAAAGAAGCTGAGATTAAACTGAGTTTAGGATTAGACCAGTGACCCAGTGCCAAGGAGGCCAAGCTGCCATGATGGTCTTGGTTCTCCCACCACCCAGCGCTTCTGGGATATGGTATCACAGATTCTTGGCTTTTAGAACAGCAGGCAATGTAAGCCTTGGATAATTTTAGTTTAGTATTTTTCCCCTCTTTCTTGATCTGGTGCATATGACAGTGTGTATTACCTTATTTTGCTTCTCCCATCAAGTTAGAGAAACTTTCAAAGGATTACTTTCCATAAACAAATTTATGAAAGTATGGTATTCCTTAAATTTATTATTTCCCTGTAATGTAGTGAATGCAATGAATCCATTTGAAGTATTTCATGAAATGATCAGCGTTGCACAAATCAAAAAATTGAGCCTTCTTTGAACTACAAAAATATACTTTTGACCAGTACGTCCTAGGAATTTGAAAACTTCCTAAGGTTTAAAAAACTTAACTTATTTAAAGAACTTGTGACATTTGTGGAAAATCTAGTTTTCCAGGTAAAATGAGCATGAGATAAATCTCTCACCAATATACTTCCCCTGAGAAATGAAACACTTTTTAGTCTTCATACCTATAATCTGCAAAAGAAATTCTGACATTCAGAGCAAGTAGCCCATTTTGCATAATTTATAAATTCTGGAATTTGTTTGAGTTTGTGGATGTTTCCCTGACTTTTTAAAAACAAAAGCATTAACTCAGCCATGTTTTATTGCATATAACCTACTATTATGCCAGTGCTCCTGTCCCAGGAGCTGCCCTCATATGCTAACATGGAGGTACAATACTCTATGCGTCAGTTACTCACACCTGTTCGTTACTGAGCTGGGCACCAGGACACCACATTAGGCGGACGAATGTCCCAGTGGTGAGGACAGAGTGTGAGCCAGCAGTCCTTTTGGGTTTGTAGATTTTAGGGGTTTTCAATTTCCATTTGGGGTTTTGGGGATTTTTTTGTTTTGTTTTCTGTTTTTTGTTTCTACATTTACCCCCACCCCCAGGCATAATAATGCATGTCTTATTCAATGTTATGCAACAAACTTATACAAAAACTCACTTAGTGTCAGCCACACAGTTTTTTTTAATGCAGTATATTCACCTGTAAATAGTTTGTGTAAAATTTGACAGAAAAGTATATTTACTACCCTGTAAATACATGTGATGATATATTGTATTATTTTGCTTTTTTGTAAAGCAGTTAGTTGCTGTATATGGATAACAAACAAAAATTTGATTATTCTCGTGTTAGTATTGTTAAATTCTTCCTGCGACTGCGTTACATCATTTAAAGAAAATGCTATGTATTGTAAACTTACATTGTATATGATAACTTAGTCTCCTTTCTATCAGGCCTAAACTTTGGCAGTTCCCTAGTCCACACCCTTGTTAATATTGTAAGCAGTTGTATGCCAGCAGGAGAAATACTGCCCAACAGACAAAATCAATCACTGTAGGGGAAACTTGTAGAAATCAGATTCAGAGCATTATTGTTCCCCACCCCATTTCTTCCTTGTGTATGTACTCCCCCTTCCTTTTTTTTAAGTAAAATGTAAATTCAATCTGCTCTAAGATGTGAGGAGTTATTTAATTTCTTCACATGCATCAAGCTCTGTTTTATTTGGTGTAAATTCTGTGTTATCACTTCCTCCCATTTCTCCCTGATCTTTTGAAACATTAAACCTCGTCCTTTCTATTAAGGGTGTTTTTTGGGTCTTCTCCTCACCCCCATGGGAAAGATGTTTGTATTTCCAGAACCTCTCAAAAGTAAAATAACTTTGGTGAAATGCTTTTTTAGGGCCTGCCAAACTCAAAGATGACTCTGGGATAGGCTGATTTATCTTTAAATGAAATGCCAGGACCCTCTGACCAATCAGAGGTCATATATTAGGTCCCCACAATTCTCTCGGACATCTCAACTTTCCCCCACAGACACTACCTGTGTAAACAGTATAAGCCACCGATCCTGAGTTTTACCTATTTCATTTACCCACTCCTAGCAGAAAAAAAAAATCCACCCTGAACCCTATGGACAGGTCAGAGCTGTCCTCAGAAGGGTAGCAGTATGTCATCAATCAAAGGATTGAAAAAGATCAGAGGCCAGTGATGGTCTTCTATGGGAAGGCTGGGAGAGCCTGAGAGTGTGCTGGTCCATCCCACACTCCCCTTCCCCCTGCCACTGCTGGTCCTGAGAGGATGTGAAAAGTATGTGCACGAATGTGTCTGAAGCTTCTCAAGCAAGGTTGCTGGGCACCCAGGCTTAAGGATCACTGGAATGAGAACTGGAAACTCAGATACTGCAAATAGCTATCTTTTTCCCCATGTCCTACTAAAGCATCTTAGTTAACACTAGGGTTGTTTTGGTTTTTGATGACCCTCTAGATCACACCTCTTCATTCCTGGACAAGCTGCTCCTTAAAGATGTGGGCCAGGCCCATTTGGCAATTCTGAAATGCCCGAGGCCTGAACAGTTGGGGAGTTGGGGAGGGGCAGAAGGTGCTGAAAGCAAGAATTTTGACACATCACCAAGTGATAGCATCCCAGTGTTCCTCATCCTGCCCCTCCCTACCATCACTAAGGAAAGCCCCTAGTGGTGACGAACATCTTGTAGCATTTACCCTCATCCCTAGGTCTCCCTCAGTTTCCTTCAGTGAAATGGCTTGGCCTGCTCACCATATATGTCAGAATAGCCTCCAACAATCTCATCCAGATTCTCTTCGCAAGCAAGGAGTGTCTCACTGAAGTGAGTTCCACTGAAGACCCATTTAGCTGTGCATGGTGGCACACGCCTATAATCCCAGCAGCTTGAGAAGCTGAGGTAAGAGAACCAAAAATTCAAGGCCAGTCTGGACAACTTAACGAGTCCTGTCCCAAAACATAAAAAAGGGGCTGGCCCAGTAGCTTGGGAGGCTGAGGCAGGAAGACAGTGAGTTTGAAGCCAGCCCTAATAACTTAGTGAGAACTTGTCTCAAAATAAAATATGTAAAAAAGCGCTGGGGATGTGGCTTAGTGGTTAAGCACACGTGGGTTCAGTGCCCAGTACCAAAAAAAAAAAAAAATTGCAATGTCGATTATATTTCTCTATTAGGACCACGCTCTAGCAATGTAGTCATTGTTGGTTTGAATCTCTCAGATTTTGTTCTTTTAGAAGTGCTCACTAATCCATAAGTGAAAACTTAATGTCACATGAAACTATAAAGTCCCTTTATACTGTATATATATGTATACATATTAAATATGAATATGCATTATTTAAAGTTCCCAAAGCAGCTTCATACATTTTTCCTAAATAGGGCCAAATTTTTGTTTTCTTACCATTCTGTATATATCCAAAAAAATTTAAAAAGATACTGTAAAATTTCTGTAGGTTTTCTACCACATATTTATTCTAGGAACCAAGCAGATCAGGATAAAGAGGATCAAGCCTCTGGGTTATAGGGTTCAGAACACTCCCAGCAAAGTGGCCACTGATAACTGAACAGCCCCCCCCCCTCCCCCAGAAGTTCAGAAAGCATTGTCAAAGCAGATGCAGTGGCACCTGCTTGTTATTTCAGTGATTTGGGAGGCTGAAGGAGGAGGACTGTAAATTTGAGACCAGCCTGGGCAACTTAATGAGATCCATAGTTTAAAAAAAAAAAAATCCACCTTCAGCGCCACACACCTATAATTCCAGAGACTCAGGAGCTTGAAGCAGGAGGATCATAAGGGCCAACTTTAGCAATTCAGTGAGACCCTGTCTCAAAAAGTAAAAAGAACTGGGAGTATAACTCAGTAACAGAGCACCCCTGGGTCCAGTCCCTAGTACTAAAAAAACAAAATTGCCAAATTACGTCCTTTGACATTTTCTTCTTACAGGAAGAAAATGTCAACAGATGTAACCTCTGATGATTGTATTCTTTTGTTCAAAGAAACTTTTGATTGGCTATAATTTGGCCCAGCCCTGTAGTGAGAATTGCAGATACAATAGAACAAGAAATCTTGGCCTCTGCCTTCTAAGATCTTAAGATTCAATTGTGAAAACAGCCACATAAATGACAATCACAGTGCCCCAAAGTATGGACAGTGTTCCTGAAGGGAATCCAGCAGAATTAGGAGTTGGATCTTGAAAATGTCCAGGAGGAGATATATCCAATGAGCAGTTGCAGGTAGTTTGGGAGTCTATTAACATGCAGGAGGTAATCTGAGACTATGCAGAAACTCTCCCCAAAAGGCCAAGTAGAGAAGCGCACAGGCAGAAAGCAGTATACCACAAAGAAATTGGCTTACTAAATTCTTTCTGTCCTCCATTCTTTTGTCTCACATGTAGATGCAGCCTAATCTCCTACATGTAAAACATATGAAAGCATACCTTAGCCCCAGACCACAAAAATAGGGAACAGCTTTCTTTCAAAACAATTCTAAATGTTATGAACCTGGGTCAAAGTAAAATGAAAAATTGATGGGACGGGATGCTCACTTCCCAACTCGGTCATTTGTGGATGAAAGCAGAATGGAATTAGGCAATCTATCAGAAACTGCACCAGTACTGCCCATAGAGTTCTACAAGGAGATGAAAAAAAAAAAAAAAAAACATTACTAAAGTCCCAAGTCTTTTGGGGTTTGCAGCAGTCATTCAGCAAACTGCCTTGTTTTCCTAAATTAACTCGAGCTGTGCTCCCTTGACAGTTCCTCCTTACAGTGCTATGATCAGCAACTGTCTTCCTAACTCCCTGGTTAGACTGTGGGCTTCCAGTAGAGGATAAGGCTTTGTTCAAAGGTATTCAGTAGATGGTTGCTACATGACACTTCAGGCTTTATGTTAACAGAGAACTCTATATAAAACAGAAAAACAAGAACAAAGACCCATTCCTTCTAGCACCTCCAATGCAAAATCCCAAACAAGACAGAGGTAGTCTGTATAATAAAAGTCAAACCTATTGAAAACTCTAATCCTGGGGCTGGAGAGCAGCTCAGTGGTAGAGCCCCTACCTAGCATGTGTGTGGTCCTGGGTTCAACCCCCTGCACTGTGAAAGGAAAAAAATAATCCAGATTTTGAGATTTCACAGATCAGTAAGTTTTTCAAAACAGTCAACTTATATATTTAAAAATAAACAATCACTACACACACACACACACACACACACAAAAATCTATCAGTGATTTTGGTTTTTTGGGCAATAGGGGATTTAGTACCAAAAAAAAAGAGGCCATTCCAACCCCAAAAGAGGAAAGAGGAAGGGATAGAAAGATAGAGAATGGCTCTTTTTTAAGTCACAATGTTGTCCTTATTTTTCTCCCATCACTTCTGACTCGGCACCATGCATCTCAGCAGACAGACACGTGATAGGCTCAGCTGGACAGGCACCCAGTAAATGGAGAGGTCCACCATGGTTCTGGATGGGAAAAGTGACTCTCACGGAATACCAGTTTTTCCCACATGAATGTCCTGGTCAAACACAATTCCAGTCACGATCCCAGCAAGAAGAGTGTATCCAGACAGAATGATCCCAGTTCACCTTGGAGAATAAACAGGAAAGCGTGGCTAAGAAACAAAAATTAAGAGAGTAATTGGTAACTTTCCCTACTAGTAAAAAAAAAATAGTTTTTTTTTTTTTTTTAATATTTAAAACTGTGGTAGGGTTTAGGTCTAACTGGTAGAGCATTTGCCTCACATGTGCAAAGTCCTGGATTCCATCCCCAGCACTGCCAAAAACCTGTGATATAATGGTGATTTGACTTGATAAATAGAATGGAACAGGCTAGCAAGTCCACTTTATGCTATAGTTAAAAAAAGAAAGCACAAGTAACCCCCAAATTCCTCTTGCTTCAAAGCCACAAAAGTGTTTTCTCCGTTCTGCTACACATCCATCACTGGTCAGCAGAACTGCTCAACCCAGTTTCCTAAGGCCCCAGAGTCTCTGATCAGCTACCATGTGGTGCCAGAAAGAGAATCCAGGCTGCCCTGTCTGCTGCAGTGGTCACTAGCCACATGTGGCTGTTGAACACTAGAGATGTGGCTAGTGAGAATGAAAGCTGATAGTTCTCATTTTAATTTTAATTAAGTGTGAATAATTACATGTGGCTAGTAGCTACCAGATTGGACAGAGCATTATCAGTAAGCAAAGACTCAGGCCAGATGTGCAGTCACTTCTGCTCGCAGTCATTGCTGAACTTGTCCCACAGCTTTATCAAGTCATAGGGTCCAAAAAAAACCTGTCCAAAAGGAAGCAGGCTGACTGGAAATGTTGGCAAAAACATTAGGGGCTGTCACCATAAAGAAGGACTCATAGAAGCAGTGGAAGAAATCCTAAAGATCATGCTTTGACTGCCTTACCAGGTTTTAAAATGTCCCATGTCCAAAAGAAAAATCACAAGATTAAAAGTCTAACCAATGGCCTTTGATTGGTCTTATTTTAAACAGTTCATAGAAATTCATTATAAGAAAAGGCACAGTAGAAAACACAAAAAGGGCAAATCTGAATGGCTAATCCATAGAAAGGACATACTGTACCAACTGCTAATTACTATATGGTGACAAGTGTCAATGCACTCATTAGTTAAAAAAAAAAAGCAACTGAAAGAGTGGGATCCTTTTTTTTTTCTTTTCTTTTTTTAAAGATGGTTTTTTTGGGGGCTGGGGATGTGGCTCAAGCAGTAGCGCGCTCGCCTGGCTTGCATGCAGCCCGGGTTCGATCCTCAGCACCACATACAAACAAAGATGTTGTGTCCGCCGAAAACTAAAAAATAAAATAAAAAAAAAAAAGATGGGTTTTCATTATTACCCACGCTGGCCTTGAACGCCTGGGTTCAAGTGATCTTCCTGCCTCATCCTCTCCAGTAGCTGGAACTATGGGCATGTCTGCACTAGGCTTGGATACCATTTTTATTTGTCAAATTAGTAAAGATGGATTTACTACCTAGTGACAGTCAAGACTGGTCTGGTGAACTTGCACATGTACTATGCCTCGTTTTCTGTGTCACCATACTTAAAAATGCCCACACTGGGGCTGGGATTGCAGCTCAGAGGTAGAGCACTGGCCCAGCACATGTGAAGCCCTGGGTTCAATCCTCAGCACCACACAAAAATAAATAAATAAATAAACAAACAAATAGAATAAAGGCATCGTGTCCAACTACAACTAAAAAATAAAAGTCCACACTGTTTGCCCCAGAAATGCTGTGTCTAGGAATCAAGCCTTATTAGACAAATATGAACTAAGACTTTTGTCAAAGTATTATTTATAATATCAGAACTTCTGAAGACAACCAGAATGTTGACTAAATCACCTATATTCACCTACTACTTTCTAGAAGCTAAGCATTTCCTTTAAAAATGGGCAAGCCTGGGCTGGGGTTGTGGCTCAGTGGTAGAGCACTCGCTTAGCATGTGTCAGGTACTGGGTTTGATGCTTAGTGCCACATAAAAATAATAAAATTATTGTGTCCATCTAGAACTAAAGATATTTTGTTTTTAAAAAATGGGCAAGCAAATGTAGCTGGGGTTGTGGCTCAAGCGGTAGTGTGCTCGCCTGGCATGCATGCGGCCCGGGTTCGATCCTCAGCACCACATACAAACAAAGATGTTGTGTCTGCCGAAAACTAAAAAAAAATATTTAAATATTAAAAAATGGGCAAGCCTTGGGGATGTGTTTTAGTGGTAGAGTGCTTACCTAGCATGTGGGAACCTTGGGTTCCATCCCTAGCACCACAGAAAAGTGAAGTGGGGCAGGGTAAGGTGGGGGACTTAAAGAGTAGTGTTTTAATTTTGGGGAAATTTCTAATAGAATCAAGAGTTTTTAAATTGTACATGAAGGCTGATCCTCAATTATGTAAATAAATACAAATATATATATATATATATATATATATATATATATACACACACACACACAACACACACACATATGTAGTTTATGTAGTTCATATATAGGAAAATATAAAAAGAAAATGCATCCAGTGTTAATAACAGTGGTTAATCTTTGTTTTGTTTCTTTTTGTTTGTTTGTTTGTTTGTTTAATTAGTTACACATGACAGTACAATGACCTTGACATATCATACATTTGAATCAGATGGGATATAATATCTCATTTTTCTGAGTATACAGGTTGCAGAATCACATTGGTCATGCATTCACATATATACACACAGTAATAATAATAATGTCTGTTTCATTCTACTATCCTTCCTATCTCCCCAATCCCTCCCCTCCCTTCCCATCACTTCTCTCTACCTAATCTAGGGTAATGCTATTCTTTTTTTTTTTTCTCACATCATTCATGTTTTGTTTCTTTTTAACATTTGTCTATATTTTTACAATGAACATTATACTTGAAAAACAAAAGGTAGGTTGTTTTTAAGAGGTGATGATGATGCTTTTTTAAAATATATTTTTTAGTTATACCTGGACACACAATATCTTTATTTTGTTTATGTATTTTTTATGTGGTGCTGAGAATCGAACCCAGTGCCTCACATGTTCGAGGCAAGCGCTCTGCCAATGAGCCCCAGCCCCAGCTATAAAAGGTACTTATAAAAGGTATTCATGATAGCAGAATTTTTGAGGTACTGAATTAACTATCAGTCATCTCCTGGACAGCTTTATCTGTTTCCTTTTGTCAAAAGAAGGCTTTTTGCCCAATTTAGATTCTAGGGAGCTGGGTTTGTTTTTCCCTCCTTAGGGGATTATTAGCATTACTGGGTTCGAGAGGTTCAGGCAACTCCCTCACCCAAAGCGCTGGTCACCAGAAACCTTGTCACTTTAGTATTTCTGTTCCCAGGTGATAGTCTCTCTGGGTTGATGGGGAGGGTCCTTGCCTTAGAGAACATAAAGCATGCAGGGTTGTGGACATATGGGGAGGTGTGCACACCTAACTGTGACCCACTGTCCTCAGTTCTCCGGCTCCTGCCAGTTGCTCCCATCCACATTCTCACTCCTGCTTCTCTGAAAGCATGCCTTCACCCTTGATTCTTCACCCTGCATCCCTTTTCCTGATCTTGAAATGATCCCTTCAGCTTTAAGAAGTGGGCCTGGTGTCCTGACCAGGCCAGGGACAGTGGATGGACAGGGCATCACCATATATCATGAAAACACTGTAGAAGGGGAGGAGAGCAGTGAGGGCAACTGACTCAGGGAGGACTTCCTGGAGGAGGTGGCAACTGAAGATAAATAGGAGAACAGAGGCAGGCCACCCCAGAGAGAGGAACAGCCTGTGCAAGGCAAGCGGGCATGATCCACTCCTTGTTGAGTCTGGAGTCCGCCACACAATGCTTGGGATATAATAACTGCTCAATAAATGTGTACCTGAGTGTGGTCAATGGTGTTGCAGAAAGAAGATATTAGAACTGCAAAGGGCCTCCCCTGCTTGCAATCCAAGCTTGGATTTAGGAGTTTTCCTGTTAGGCAGAAGGGGGCAGTAGAGGAAAAGGCCAGAAGCAGGAGTTTATGATAGTAGGAGGTGAGACCCAGGCAGGAGGTTGATTCCTAAACCTTGAGGAACCCACAGGTGAATGCCCTTCCAGAAAGCCACTCTCACGGGTAATTTCTGCAGCTGATGATAGGATCTGGAGCCCACTTTGGGTAGAATTAGTAAAGTTTTCACCATTTCTTCTAAGAATCCTGGAAGGAAATTTAGCAAGCAGCTAATCCTGCTTCTGATAGTTGGAGAAGGTTCTGGGTGGGCACCCTTCCTGACATGAAGTCCTGCAGCAGAGGAAGGATGAGGTCCCAAGATGTCCTGCTACATGCACCCTGCTGCCCCCAGTCTAGTCAGGGTCCCCAGCACCCACAAGCAGAGCTGGCTGTGTCTCTGAGCAATGCCCCCCCCCCCTCCAGACCGAGGTCTATTTTGAGACAGGTGAAGAAGGAAACGAAGTTCACACCACCTTCTTCCCCTCCAAAGCGAAAATTATTCATGGTTTAAAAAACATAACAAAACTCAGAGGGTTGTGAGCAGGAAGAACTGTGAATCCTGCCCCATTTCCCTGACAAGATAGATGCTGAAGTCAAAACCTATGGATGAATACAGAAATGCACCCTCTTCTACACTAGTCCAAAGCCACTCCATACTGACACAAGAAGAACCACCACATGCCAGCCACACCTGGCACTGGCACAAACATTTTCTTATTAAATGCCTGCAGTATGACCTCTGCAAAGTAAGGAACTATAATCCTCCCTTTCCAGACAAGGAAACTGAGGCTTAGAGAAGCTAACTTGTCCAGAACCCCAGAGTTTGAAGAGTAGCAGACTTTGGTGCATTGCTCAGCTGTTTTGGATTCTAAAACCCATAACCTTTCATTAAACTTACACATGATATTTAAACTATTCATTTACTGTGGCTGTTGTGCTGCCCTAAGCTATCTGCAACAGGATGGCTAAAACAAAAGAAATTTATTCTTTCACAGTTCTGGGGCCAGAAGGCTGAAATGCAAATGTTATTGCAGAGGCTCTCAGGAGATTCTTTTCCTGGCTCCTCCAGCTTCTGGTGGCTTCCAAACTTCAATCTCTGCCCCCACTCCTCGCATTACCCTCTTTTTGTGTTAAGTCTGTCTCTGATCCTTCTTTTCTAAGGATACATGTGATTGCATTTAGGGTCTTCTCCTCAACAACCCAGGATAATCTCCCATTGCCAGATCCTCAATCAGATCTCCAAAGATCCTTTTCCAATTAGGGTGACATTTACAGACCCTGGGGTTTAGGACATAGGTATCGTGTGCAAAGGTGCTCATTGGCTGGCTTTCTAAATACCTGTCCTTGCTCCTCAGAATACACTAAGAAGTTTATTTTGCACCTAGAAAAAATAAAATGTTTATAATTGCTACCAAAAGAGAGAAGGGAAATGCAGTGCCAAGGAGCAGCTCTCTGTTGGGTCATCACCTCGAGGTTTTCCAGCTCTCATTTAGCATGACTGCCATCCCTTCCCACATCTACCAGGACACTTAATTTACAGAGAGCCACGTAGCCTGCCCCGGAAGGCTGCCACTGGGTAATAAGCCCAGCACTGGTGATCCTTTTAGTGCCTCCTTGGACTTCATCACACAAAAACCTGTGGCCAGCATCTCATCTTAAAGGGTAGGCTGATTGACACCCCATAACAGCAGTTCAGGATGAAATCTGACACCTGTTGGATTTAACAGCTGTCCCATCCCCAGGATTGTGGTTAGGATCAAACTGAAATTTCCTGGAAATCCTTATCTTTTCCCCATATTTTCACTGGTGCAGTATAGTTATACACAATGGTGGGACATGTTGTTAAAGACTCATACGTGCATGCAATATAGTAATATAATTTGGCCAATATCACTCCAGAGCACCCCAGCTCGGCAGGCTCTGTGCTGGGAGCAGGTTGGGCAGAGCAGAGAAGAAGTTCTTACCTGATGGTCGTTGTTTCGGCAAGGGAACCTAGAGAAGTGCCTTACTTCCTTTTGCTTCTCTAACACCTCGCCGCAAACACAGTGGCCTGAAAACCACATTTGTTATCTTACAGCTCTGGAGGCCGGAAGTCAGAGCATCTGTCCCCCTGGGCTGAAGTCCAGGGGTCTGCAGGGTTGGCTCCTTCTGGAGTCTCTAGGGGAGAATCTTATTCCTTGACTTTTTCAACTTCTAGAGGCCACCTACATTCTTTGGTTGGGACCTTGAATCATTTTAACCTTTCTGTTTTCACACCTCCTAGTATTAACCCTGAGCTTACTGTGCTGTGGTTGCATCATGATTATTTGGGGCCTACCTACATTATCCAGGATTATCTCCCCTTCCCCAGTTCACTTGATCATCTTGGCAAAGTCCCTTTTGACATGTGAGGTTACACATTCTCAGGTTCTAGGGATTGGGCTGTGGTCATCTGGGAGGGCCATTAGTGAGCCTACCCTAAGAAGTCAGAAACGTACCATCTGAAGTTCCAGTACAGATCTGCCTGGTGCCCAGGCCCCTTCTCCATTGCCAACTCTCCCATCCCCCAGGACAAGAAGGACTTTGTGGACATGCGGGTGAAGAGGCTCCTGAAGGCAGGTGTCATCTCCGCTCTCTCCTGCATGGTGAGAGCAGACAGTGCCATCCTCACTGACCAGACCAAGGAGCTACTGGCCAGGTGCCACTGCAGGGGGCCAGGGGCTGGGCCCGAGGGGACTGGAGGGCAGGAGGCTGGACAGGGAGATGGAAATGGTGGGGGCCTACATGAGGGACTGAGTGAGCCACTGGGTGTCCTAGAGACTGAAGGGGACCAACAATGAAAATGACATGATGGGGCAGATGTGACAGGGGGAAGCTTGTGTCAGAAGGTGTTCATTCTGGTTGCCTTGTTCCCAGAGATCAAAGGCACAAAGTGCAGCCTACTGGGCATGATCAGGTCCAGTGCAACAGGTGCCCTGTGGGGAGGCACAGCTGGTAGGGACATGAACAATGGCACCCAAGCAGCCAGACTGGAGGGCCAGGGCTCGGCAGCCAGGAAGGCCTGGTGGAGGTGACAGCTGAGCCCTGATGGAAGAAAAGGAGCCACCGTAATGCGGGGGAGGGAAAGGCTTCAGGCCTGGAAACAGCATCTGCAGAGACACCAAGGACAGAGGAGATTTCTCTAGAGCATGGAGGCCCAGGAGGGAATTTTGCTCACAGGGAATTAGGAGACCAAGGAGGTGGAGTTTCTCTTGGGTGGCGAGGGGCACCAAGGAGCCCCTGGCAGTGCCCATAAGCAGGAGTGGGGTGGCTCTTTGCAGCCTTGCTTGGCCTCACTTTCTTCCGTGCCACTTAACATCATCACAGCGTCTTCCCAAGGTGGCTCATCGTGCATTGTGGGGCAGGAGCACACGGGGTGCACTCTCTGGGCTTTCCCTGTTCACCCTGGGGCTTCCTGGGCTCTGGCTGCTGGTCTGCGATGGGAGAGGCTGCTGGCAGTTCAAATGCTCTCCTTTATCCTTGGCCCTGCAGGGTGTTCCTGGCGCTGTGTGACAACCCAAAGGACCGAGGCACCATTGTGGCTCAAGGTGGTGGCAAGGTAATGGGTCAGGATAAAGTCTTTGCTTTCCTAGAAGGTGATCTGCTTCACAGGAGCATACAGACTGCATGTGTGTGTGTGTGTGTACTTGTGTGGGTGTGCTCATGTACCCCTAACCTGGCCCAAGAATCCTGCATCCCCAACTCAACCCAACCTCCTCGAATACGGCAACTCAGTTATTTGCACTGTTTGTGCTCATGGCCCCAAACCAATTTCTGCTTGATTGGCTGGTGCCATGGATGTCCTTTGGAATGTCTTTATCTTCCTTGCTATTGGAAGGAAGCCTGGTACAAAGATGGAGACTGTGGACTTTCCTGTAGACTAGAGTTGATTCTTGCTGTGTTACCTGGGGCAGATGCTTACTCTCACTGAGCCACAATTTCTTCATCTGTAAAATGGAGGCAGGACCCACACACTCACATTTCAGAATGTCACCAGGATTGCATAAAATACATGTAAAGCGCACCATAGGTGCTCAATAAGTGTCTGCTGTTATGATTAGGCATGGCTTAGACAGTAAGGAATCCATTTATTTTTTCTCCAAAAATTGAAGGAACCTGTGGATGGGTGGGCAGAAGTGGAGTTGAAGACCTTGATGATTGGGACCCAGGGGAGTGAATCTATGGCTGAGTAGTTGCTTTCCATGATGCTCAAGCGCTGATTATGTTGCAGAGTCTCCGTGAACCTTTGATGGGACAGAGAGACAGCAGCTGGGGTGGGAAGATAGAAGAGGACTCTGGATCTGTGGCCTAGGTGACTGTGCCCTTTCTTGCAGGCCCTGATCCCACTGGCTTTGGAGGGCACGGATATGGGCAAGGTGAAGGCGGCCCATGGGCAAGGTGAAGGCGGCCCATGCTCTGGCCAAGATCTCAGCTGTCTCTAACCAGGACATCGCCTTCCCTGGCGAGCAGGTGGGTATTTGGGATGAGTGGGGTGGGGCAGTGGGAAAGTGCTTTGGAAATTTAAGGCTGGCCACCTATAAAAGTAGAGAATGGAGGGAGATGTGGCCCTTGCCCCACCTGATCCGTGACCACTCCCCACAGGTCTGTGAGGTGGTGCGGCCCCTTGTGGGTCTCCTGGACACGCAGAGGGACGGGCTGCAGAACTATGAGGCTCTCCTGGGCCTCACAAACCTGTCTGGGCGGAGTGACAAACTCCGGTGAGTGGGGTGGGGTGGAAAGGGCAGGGGTGGGGAGAGGTGCCCCAAAAAGTTGGGTTGGAATTTCACAGGTCATGTGCTCAAGCTGCTGTACTCAGAGGACAGCATCAGAGGCACTGGGTAGAAACCACAGCGGGAGGGGTTTGAGTGGGAGGAAGGAAAGACCACACAGAGACTGTGCGAAGCCCAAGGACTAGCAAAAGGGATCTCAATAGTGGGGTGGCGTGTAGTTCTAGGAGGGTATTTTCCCAAGAGGGGGCTTTTCCCCAAGTCCAGGTGGGTGGAGTCTGTCCAGTCTGGCTCATACCACTGCCCAGAGCCCAAGAGCCCAGATGGCTTTCTCTGGAATCCAGAGTCCCCTTCAGAGAGGAGTGTGAGGGTGAGGTAGGAGGCTGCTTCCAGGCTGGGCTCCCAGAGCAGCCAGAGATCCCTCTCCAGCTTGCCCCACAGGGTCAAGGTCCAGAGGAGGCCAGTAGCTCCACCCTTGCCCCCTCACCAGCAGGCTGGACCCACCTAGCCCCGCCCACTGCCTGCTGTGAGGACTGCAACCTTTGTTTAAAGTACTCACTTATTTTCCTTGGATGAGTTCCCTGAGTCAGCACAACTCCTGCTCAAGGGCCCAGAAGGACTGGTGGGTGGTCCTGGGGGAGGAAAGGCAGGCGGCAAGCGGTGGGCACTGATGAGGCGACTGCGATGGAGACTGCCCAACTTCCCAGCTTCTGTGGTCTTGGGCAGCACAGCAGCATCTTTGGGATGGAATCACTGAAGAGGCCTCATGGAGTGGTAGCATCTGGTGGCAGCAGCAGCAACATGTAGCTGCTTCAGGCGTAGGGCATCAGGCGAGGGAGGTCCGGAGTTGAGAGTTGGCATGGGGGTGGCAACAGCTGAGGTGTTGGCATCCAGCTGCAGTTTGGGAGATCCCTTGCTGCATACTCACAGCGGTGGTGGCAGCAGAAGAGTCCAGAAGCTGCTGTGGTGACAACAGAGGGATGTTGCCATGATCATTTCTGTCCTGCAGTGCCACAGGAGTCTGACTGCAGTGGGTGAAGTGGGCATCCAGTGCTGAGTATCGCTGTCTTGCGTCCATGATGGAGTCTGGTGGTGGCAGCAGCAACATGCAGCTTCATCTGGGAGCCGGCATGGGGCACTGGAGTCAGGCATCATGGCGGGGGGTGAAGGGCATTGACGTTGGGCCCTTGGTGGGCAGCATCATAGTCCAGCTGGGGTTTGGGAGTTTGGTTGCTGCACGGTGGCGGCAGCACCAGTAGAGTCTGGAAACGGGGCTGAGGACACAGAGGCGTCCAGTGGTGAGCATCTTCATCCTGCTGGGGTAACAGGAATCCTGCTGCAGTGGCATCTGGCGACCATGTGGGGAGTCCGGTGGCTACAGTGAAGAGCTCCAGGCTGGTGGCGGCAGCGAGGGCGCAGGGCAGTGAGCCTCAGAGTGGAAGGGCGACGAGAGGCTGGAATGGCCTCTGCAGTGGCTGTTCCAGGCCCTGGGTCTTGGTCCTGGCTGATCGGCCTGTTCAGGAAGCAGCACGAGGGGGGTGGCAATACCCAGGCAGCTGCTGAGGACCTTAGGCTGCCCACACCTGCCTCGCCTGGCACTGGCCATGAGCCCACCGGGTGGCTGCTCGCCCCATCCCCGATGTGGCCTCTGCAGGGGAACTAGGCCATCTGCCAGGTGGGGCAGCCTTGGGAGAGGACCCCCACCTTCCTCAGAGACATCCCACCTGGGCTGTGGGGGGAGAGAGCAGAGGAACTAGGACCTCTTCATCCTCAAAGTGCATTTCTGATTGGAAGCATTTCCTCTCAGAACTGGAACAGGACAAGGATGCCCTCTCTCACCTTCTACTCTACATAGTCCCTGATACTCTAGCCAGAGTTTAAACTATACTGCTGTTTAAACTCCACTACAGCTTAGACTACACGACAGAGCTGTAGATGAAAGAAATTAAAGGGATAGGAATAGGGGAAGAAGAACTCAAACTATCCCTATTTGCTGATGACATGATTCTACACATAGAGGATCCAAAAAATACTCCACCAGAAAACTTCTAATATTAACAAATTCAGCAATGTCACAAGATATGAAATCAATATTCATAAATCAAATGCATTTCTATCTATTAGTGATGAACCCTCTGAAAGAGAAATTAGGAAAACTATCCCATTCACAATAGCCTCAAAAATGAAATATTTGGGTATAAATTTAACAAAAGAGATGAAAGACCTATACAATGAAAACTAAAGAAAGAAATTGAAAAGACTTTCAAAGATGGCGGACCAGAGGGAAGCAGCATCTGTGTTGCTCTGTGATCCAGATCTCTCCTAGTAGGAATTCTGCATCTCTTGAGAGTGTTAGAGGCCCCTTTACAGCTTCTCTCTACAGAAATGACCAGCGCTGTGACCTCGCGCAGGACTCAGGGCCTCAGTGTCCGAGCAGGACCCAAAGCCAAAGTTGCAGTTCACTTAAGACTTGGCCAGCGCCTTAGCAGAACCACCTACCAACACATCTGCAGAAGGCCGAGACTCACTCCACTCCCATGCAGGTCACTCAGCTGCTACCTCCCCACAGCACAAGGCCATCAGTTCCCCTGACATCACCAGACACCCGGCTCTGGAAGCACACCCACTACATCTTGGAAAGCATTCCTTGCCATTTTGAGGTGGGCGTGGCTATCGGATCCCTCCCCTTTTGAGCAGGTACCTGATTCCAATTCCTCCCTCATGGAATTAATATTGTCAAAATGGCCACACTATCATAAACCTTATACAGATTTAATGTGATTCCAATTAAAATCCCAATAACATTCCTCATAGAAATAGAAAAAGTAATCATGAAATTCATTTGGAAAAATAGACACAGAGAAATCCTTATTGACAAAGCAATCCTTAGCAAAAAGAGTGAAGTAGGAGACATCACAATATCAAACCTTAAACTACTACAGATCTGTAGTAACAAAAACGGCATGCTATTGGCACCAAAATACACATGTAGACCAATGGTACAAAATAGAAGATACAGAGAAAAACCCACATAAATGTAGTTATCTCATTCTTGACAAAGGTGCCGAAAACATACATTAGCTAAAGGATAGCCTCTTCAACAATGGTGCTGGGGAAACTGTAAATCCATATGTAGCAGACTGAAATTAAACCACGATCTCTCACCTTGCACAAACACTCAAAGTAGATCAAGGACCTAGGAATTAGACCAGAGACCCTGTACTTAAGAAATAAAATCAAGAATTAATAATGGGATGGATTCAAACTTAAAAGCTTCTTCTCAGCAAAGGAAACAATAATATGAAGAGAGAGCTCACAGAGTGGGAGAACATCTTTACTACACGCACATTAGATAAAACACTAATTTCCAGGATATATAAAAAACTCAAAAACATCAACATCCAAAGAATAAATACCCCAATCAATAAATGGGCTAAGGAAATGGGCAGACACTTCACAGAAGAAGATACACAGTCGATCAACAAATATATGAAAATATGTTCAACTTCACCAGAAATTAGAGAAATGCAAATCAAAACTACTCTAAGACAATCTTACTCCAGCCAGAATGGCAGTTAACAAGAATACAAGCAACTGCCGCAGTCTGGCGGCAGTTATGTAAATGAAAAAAGCTAATCCTCAAAAACAACAGGCTGAATGTTCTCCCTGATAAGTGGATGCTGATCCATAATGAGGGGGGCAAGGGAAGAATGGAGGAACTTGGGGCAAAGGGGAAGGATAGGAGGGACAGGCATGGGGTAGGAAAGAGGGTGGAATGAGAGGGATATCATTACCCTAGGTACATGCAGGACTGCACATATGGTGCAACTCTACATCGTGTTCTACCAGAGAAATGAAAAGCTGTGCTCCATTTCTGTACAATGAACCAAAGTGAATTCTGCTGTTATGTACAACTAATTACAGCTAATTAATTTTTTTAAAGTACATTTCTGTGTCTAAGGGTGGCAGAAGACCAAGACCAAGGACAGCACGTCTTGGGGTTCCCTCTGCCATCTATGCCCTCCACCCTTGTCCCGCCCCAGGGATGCGTTTTGAGGGGGAGGATTTGTAGCCCCACCCCCCACTGCCTCTGCTCTCAGTGGCCACAGCCCAGGAGAGATGTCGCTGGGGAGGGTGGGTGTCCTCTTTAAAGGCTGCCCCGGCTGGCAGCGGGCCTACTTCCCCCGCAGAGGCCGCAACCCAGGGAGGGGCAGGGCGAACCCGGGGTGGGGCGAGCTGCCACCCGGGGGGCTCAGTGCCGGTGCCAGGCGCCGCCTGCGTGCTCAGCATAAGGTCCTCAGAGGCTGTGTGGGTACCGCCGCCTGCCGTGTCCTGCTTCCTGAGCAGGCAGGCCCTGCCAGGAGCAAGACAAGTGGCCTGGGGCAGCCACAGCACAGGGCACCCCATCCTCTGGTCGCCCTCTGACTCTGAGGCCCGCTGCCCTACGCTGTCGCTGTCGCCACAGCCAGCGCTCCACACTGTGGCCACTGGAGTCCCGACCTGGCCACCAGAAATGCTGCCAACACCTCCACTGCACTGGAAGCAGACTCCCGCCACCGCCAATGGATGAGGATGCTCCTATTTGGACGCCTATTTCCATGCAGCCACCGATTCAACTGGACTCCCCAAAGGGCCTTAGGGCGCCTAGGCTCCCTGATGAACGACCTGCCCGCAGAGGGATGCCGCTGGTTGCTGGGAACCTCCAATGTGGAACCCTAATGTGGAACGTTGAGGGTGGCTGCTCTTCACTTCCACACTGCAACTGGACTCCTCCACAGGTGGCGCCTACACCTCCAGGCTTGGGGAGGGTGTGGGCACCCCATTTTATCTGTGCCACCTGTTCATCCTGCCAGGGGATTAATTCACTAATTGGCTTTAGGCTCTCATAACAGGATCATTTCCCCTCTAAACCTTCTTGCATTGTCTCACCCATGAGCTTTTGGGGGACACCGAGAAACTCAACCATATCGCGTCTTCATCAGATAGCTTAGCAAGATCTTCTTCATGACTTGCTGTAGCTTCTACATCAGCAATTGCTGCTTCACCCTGCACTTGTCTTATATGGAGATGGGCCGCTTGCTTCGAACATCATGAACCAAATTCTGCCACCTTCAGACTTCTTCTGGAGCTTTCTCCCTTCTCTTGGCATCAGAAAAATCTAATGTTTTGGCCTTATCTGGATGCGGTTTTGGCTTAAGGGAACGTGGCTTGTTTCACCTGTTCTCCAGACTATGAAAACTTTATCCCTATCAGCTGTTTTGCTTTCTTATCATTCACCTATGCCCTGGAGCAGCACTTTAATTTTCTTTATGAACATTTCCCTTGCATTCTCATTGGGACTAATTATTCAAGAGGCACAGCTTTTTTTTTTCTTTTCTTTCTTTCTTTCTTCTTTTAATAGTTTTAGATCAACAGCATGCCTTTCTTTGTTTAGTTGTTTTTTTTTTTTTTTTTTTGTAGTGCTAAGGATTGAACTCAGTGCCTCATACATTCTAGGCAAGCACTCTGCCACTGAGCTACAGCCCAGCCCAAGGCACAGCTTTCTATTTGGAATGCAAAACTTGGAACTCTTCCTTTTATTCCAACTGTTCAGTCCATTACAGAGTAATTAACTGGTCTAACTTCAATATTGTTAGACCAGTTAATTACTCTGGTGAGTCATGATCTGTGGAGCAATAAGAAGACACAGATTAAGTTTGCTGTCTTATATGAACAGGGTTTGTAGTGTCACATGACATCTAACCCAGTTAACGTCACAGAACACAGTAGGGGATAAAATGCCCTGAAATCCTCACCACCCTTTAGGCAGTCATCTCGGCTCCATGCACAGGGGCCCCACAGGACCCCTGTGCTCTAAGGGGGCTCTCCATCTTCAGCTACTCAGTGCTGGGGGTGGCACAGCCTGGTGAATGGATTGAGCACTATTGTGTCAACATAAATGTTTGTTACTAAAATACTTACAATGCCATCCCAGACATTTAAAAAAAACCACCATCACAAAAAATAAAATAGACAGTTTTAGTGGGAGGAGGCGGATAGCTGTGGTGGGGCATCTGGCACAATGCGCAGGTGCTCACACGTGGGAGGTGCCCTCAAGGACTTTAGAACTAGGGCAGCGAGAAAACATTCTAGGAGAAGTGGAGGCTTCTGGTCTAATCGTTTCTTGACCCCCTGCCTCTGGCATTTGTGTGTGTGTGAATTTTATGTAGCTGCCAGGGAAGATGGCTGACTTTGAAAGAATGGGATGGCAGCTTGGGTCACCACCTGTACCAACTGGAAGATAATGATGTAAAGGGCCTCTCCTTCAGCTGGAACCTCCCAAGGCCCCCTGCATGGGGAGCTTCCCAGAGAGTGTCCAAGCAGGTCACATGCAGCAGAGCAAAGGGGGCAAAACTGTGAGGCACATGTGTGGGTAGGATTCTCCCCTCACTTTCTGTCCAGTCTCTATACAAAAAAAACATGGGCAATCCAGGCTGGGATTGGCTGTGCTGGAGAGGGATCCTCACAGGGCCTGGCTCTGAGGCTCCAGCCACGCCTCTCTTCCTTGGGTACCCAGAATCCCACCACAGCTTGCTTTGTTCCTTCTACAGAGTAAGCCCCAGACCTCTGTCCTCTGCTGGGAAACAACAGGGTAGACCCTGAGGTCTGCCCAGCCATCCTCTACAACAGCCCCCCAAGTGACCACTCTGGAGACAGCAGCCCTCCCTCTTGGCCCAAAGACCACTCACTTCTTGTCTTGAAGGTACTCCTCCTCAACATATGGCTGGAGGCGTCCATACCTAGAGAATACCAGGAGGCTGTGACCTCTAATATCCTGTGTCCCTCATCTGTCGAGATGCCTGGTGGACTTGACTAACTTACTGACAATAACGGGAGCTCAGGAGGGCTGGGAGAGTTTGTCTGCACTGATTCCTAAATGATAGGCCAAGTGCCTGCCAAAGGTAGGTGCTTCATATATATTTGAGCCATGAATGAACCCACCCACCTGCTGCCTGGCTACCTCAGGGCCAGGACCCTCTCAGTTGACCCCAGGGGTCCCTGTTCTGTCTACAGGCAGGTTGGAACCCTCCCAGATGCAACCCACAGACTCCTTCCCAAATGTGGAAACTGCTTTTCCTGAGGCCTCAGAAGAGTGAGGTCTGAGGCAGAGAACTTCCTCTCAGGGAGGGGACAGGCCCCCAGGGAAAGGCCAGAGCCATCGCCAGCCTGTGTCCCAGGACCACTCTGAGGCAAACACTCCTAGGGCTCATCCTACTTGGATTTCTAAACACCCAGGCAGAGTTCTCCTCTGAAAAACCCTACTTTCCTCAGAGCTGACGGAGGTTCAGAGTGATGCCCGGCATTCCCAACACCAGGCCAGGAGATGGCCATGGGCCAGGGCTTGGAGGTCATACACACCTTTTACCCAGCAGCTCCAGAGCCTTCTGGGTACTGGCCAAATCTTGGTACAAATACAAAACCCCATGGACATAGGGGGTGTTCCCCTGCTGCAGGGCAGGCACCAGGCCGTCCTCGAGCTCCCAGAGAAGTACTGTGAGGGTTTCCACAAGACAGGACACATCCACTGATGAGCCTTGGTCATCTTCTCCCTAGGATGGGCAATCAAAGAGGGACATTTCAACAGGAAAACGGTAGCCATTTGCAAAAGGAATCACTGCCATACGTCAGGGGAAATCAAAATATTTTCCCTCCATATTCTCAGGAGACATCACACACACACACACACACACACACACACACACACACACACAAACCTGGTGAGATCTGGCACTTTTGAAAGGGGAATCTGAATGTGGGTTAAACTATGGACACCTGTGGTGCCCTGTCCTGTCTCACTTCTGGTCTCCTTGGGAAAAATTGCCAGAGTCGTTGGGACACAGCGCTGACCCAGCACCTCCACACTCAGGAAAAGCCCTGAGGCTTAAGCACCCACAGATCTGTAGACAACAAGAACTCATGGCTCTGGGCTTGCTGTCTCAACACCAGTGAGCAGACTGGGACTGTTTGTGGACTGTGAGTGCCTAGCTACCAGGGTTCCAAGTTCTGTGAGTTCCATGGCCAAGGAAGTGAGGTCACTGTCTCAGGAAGTCCTTTGCTGAGTCCCTTTCTTACACAAGATGGTTCCAATGGCCCACTGGGCTGCAGTCTTCCCATGACATAGGCACAGGTGGACCCAGTTACACCAACACACCCTGGATCAGGCCCTCAGACAGGCCCGGGTGGAGCCAGCTCCCTTGGTTTGGGGAGACAGAGCTTGGTTGAGACCCTTCCCCTTCTTGTGGGTATGTGTGTGGCCCTGAGGAAGTCATTGTGCCTTGCAGGGCCTCCATAGCTTCTCAACATGTTCCCAGGGGTCATTCTAGCATCTGCTTTAGAGGTTGTCATCAGGGACATGTGCCCACACATACATGGACTCCCTGAGAAACCCTAATCCAGGAGTCATGCGTCTCTAATGCACAAATATACAGATAACATGACATAGGAAGTTAAGGGACAAAGGATGACATCCAACTTTACCATGACCTGAGTCCCACAGTGACAGAGGGAAAGTCAGCTCCTCTCTTGGCCATGGTCCCCACTCTGCACCACTGGAGGGTTATTTTCAGAGATAGCCTCCCCTTTGCCATAGAATTCTAATTCCTGTGCGAAATCAAATTGCCCCAATGTCTCTTCCGATCGTATGATGGGGTACACTACAGGGGATTTCAAACACCACAGCATCCTGTGCCCAAAGCCTGTAGCTCCCTCCTCTCTCAGTGGATCCACATCAGCATCTGGTTTCTAAGAAACAGAAATCAACAAGCCTCATGGGGTATCACTTCCAAGTTTGAGTCACGGGAAGTCTAACTTAGTCTGGCTCCACAGGCCCACAGCAGAGGGCACTGCTGAAATTCCAGAGGTTTGTGGGGAAAGTTGGTGGGGCAGCAGGCAGAGACCTGAGGACCCCATGAAATGGCAAGGAGCTGGCATTTCTGTGCCTCTGTTTCTACACGCCTCCCATAGGTGAAAATGCTAGGGCTAAAAAATTCACTGATGCACAAAACATATAAGAAGCAAGGATGGTGTGGAATGGCCAAGAATTTCTTCCATAGCATGGCCACGACCACGGAAACGGACTTCTCTATCTCCATGTCTTTAGGGAAAGGCAAAGCCACTCGCTTTTGTTTTGTGTGCAGTTTAAAGCAACAGTTTCCTCCTATTCTTCCAACTAAACTTTGGAGGCAAGATCCCAGTAGTATGAACAAAGAAGCATCTCAGAGGCAATAGTACTCAATAGCTGAGGCTACTGGAGCAGAGAGAAAGACAGACAATTCAGCTTTGAGGTCTGGAAAGGGAATAGGAGACCAGTCCCTGCAGGGGACACTCACAAACCGAATGCATGTTCACTGAGCGCCCTGTGCTCACTGTTGAATGGAACATGAGGAGCTGATGTCTTTCCATCTCCTAAGGAACTTCCAGATTTAGCTAGCCATCCCAGGAGACTCAGGACCATCATCCTTGTGCACACAGAGCTAAGTGGCTGCTCATTACCTTCCCACCAAAGGTGAGAGGCAGGTGATGCTAAGTTCTTTGAACTGATACTGAATTGAAAAATATTTTAATCGTATATGCTCTCCTGAAAATACCAGTAAATTCACCAGCTTCAAATTACTATAAGAAAGAACTAAAGGGGAGAAGATATGTTAAGCAAAGATATGACAAGAATTCAACTTCCAAATGACCTAAATGCACTTGCAGCTTCTGTGCTATTTCAAGTTGCTTATAATACATAGCAGGTTTCATATGTGCTGATGGTGCCTTACAGGCTCCTGGCCTAACAGGAGAGGCTTTCCTCACACTAGAGCAGCTTCATCAAGCATCTGGATTTACACAGCTGCAAATTTTGAAAAGTAACACTAAATGATATCTCTCAAGATAAAGATGTCTGCTCAAAAACAAATATTAAAACTAGATAAAATTCTACTAGAATACAAAAATGTAGAAACTACGATGACATAACAAAATATTTATTAAACTCTAAGCATGTTATTTATTGACCCCCAAACAAATATTCCTATAGCATTTCTAAAAGACATCATCCTTATTCTTCCTTGAATTGCTTCTATCCATCAGAAAGATGTCATGTTCTTAAGGCTGGTTGATTTATTCCCTTCAAATGTGAATAAAAACCCAAATCTCAAAATTCCACAAAACCATTTATAAGAAGGGAAAATGTCCTTCATCCAATTCACAATGCAGCTGAAAAAAATCCCAATAAAACCAGAAACAGCCTATGAGAAGGTTTCATAAGAATTGCAATTAGCTATACAATGATATACAGAAACCAGTTTTTTAAACACTTGAAAGTGCTCCTCAGCCACATCAGAAGCAACTAAGATATTTATTTACCACCTATTAACTCAATTTCCACAAGGAAAAAAAAAATCTTCCTCATGCTAAACACAATAGATGAAGGAAATGCAGTGTCAAAGAACAGCTCTCTTTGGTCATCAGCTCTGCGCTTCCCAGTTCACACTGAGGTTGACTTTCATCTTGCTCACATGGACCAGGACACTTAATTAACACACAGTCAGGGAGCCTGCCCTAGAAGGCTACTACTCCCCAGAGACTAGTACATGTGCTCCTTTGGCTTTCCTGACACTAACAGGTTATGAACATCCTTTCTTCTTAAAGAATAGGCTGATGGGGCTGGGGTTTGGGTCAGTGGTAGAGTGCTTGCCTAGCATGTGTGAGGCACTGGGCTCAATTTTCAGCAGCACATATAAATAAATAAAATAAAGGTCCATTGACAACTAAAAAACAATATCAAAAAAAAAAAAAAAAGAATAGGCTGGTGAACACAGCACATCAGCTGTTTCATGTGAGTACTGATATCTATTAGTTGTTGATAGCTGTCCCATTCCCAGGGTTACCTGCTATTAAAAGGCAAGCTCACTGGGGAAGCACTGAGGACTCCTATCATAGCCTCCTGCTGAAAACCTCTATTGAACTCCTGCTTCAATCCTAAGCCTGCTGCTTCCCCAAACACAAGTCTATTGCATGATTTTACAAAGAGGGGGAACTGATGGAAATCACTGAGGGGCTGGAACACCTGAAGAAGGTCAGCCTGGCAAGTGACTAGGTCCTCTTCCAGTCTGACCTCTTTGGAACAATTTGGAAGAAAATGATTTCTAGACAAGTCACTTGATAACAAATTTATAGTTTCATATTTGAAAGCACCACCAACGAAAGCTTTAGTTACCAGTCAAGACATGCAGTTCATGGGTGTGTCATTATGAGAAGTAACCAAGAAAAGGGTTGTGGCTGAACTCGGACCATAGAGAACCCTCAGTGATCCACAGTGGCATTGGGCAGGGGGAGAGGTAGGGTCAATATGGGTAAATTCAATGCTCAGGACAATATTAAGAAGACTGTTAGATTAATTCAAACTATAATCCCCAGCCCTTTACAATAACAAACCATCCATTTAAGATCCACTCTCCCTCCTCCTGGCCATTTCCTAACAAAAGTACTAAGAGGCTCAGATCTGGCCAAAATGAAAGGCCCAGCAGGGCTTGGAGGCACACACCCGTAGTCCAAGCATTGGGGAAGATGGGACAGGAAAATATGGAGTTCAAAACTAGCCTCAGCAAACTAGAGAGGTCCGAAGCAACTTAGCTAGACTCTGTCTCTAAATAAACATATTTAAAAAAAAAAGTCTGAGGATGTGTCTTAGTGGTTAAGAACCCCAGGTTCAATATCTGGTATAAAAATAAATAAATGAATGACTCATCAAATTTTCAGTCCTCCGGATGGTTCTGTATTTTCAGCAGTGCCCATCAGGAACCATGGCGATGAGGTTACCTTCTAGAAAGCCAATCACATTATATATTCCCACATCCAATACTGCTCAAAAACCTGTTCCCCTGGTTTGGATTCATCTCAATGAAATGCCTGACTGTGCCAGCAATGCTCCTGTGCAACGACTGTGAAGCACTTGACAACTACTACACTCAAGGCAGGCAAGGCTGGCATCCTGCACCTTTGGGTTCAAAGGCTGGAGAGTCCAGGTTCTGGCAGGGACTGCCCTGGCTTATTCTCCTTTGTGGGACTTTCCAGGACTTGGGCACCATGGGTCCAGCTTAGGACCTGCTAAGACACCCTAGCTATGGGTGCTTCTAATTTTACTGCCATCTCCAAAGTCATCCGAAGCAGAAACCCCTACGATCAATGCAGGGGACCAACACCATTTCCAGAAAGGCCACCTGCACTTGAAAGTCCATGCTGTGGAATCACTGGCTTCTACGACTACAGACCTCCCTCCAGATGTGCTACTGGCCTTTGGAGCACTGAGCATCTGCTCCAAAAGAAGAGAAACTCCAAGCCCAGACAGCAAGCCTGGAGCATGAAAACCTGCAGCACCTCTAACCAGAATACCTCCAGTGACCAAGGGACAAAAGACAAGCAGCAAACATGAGCAGGGAGTCACCAATGCCCCTCCATTTAATGCTTGACACAAAGGCCACCCAAGCAGAAATCGAGGGGCCAGCACCACCCCAGAAAGACCAACTTGCATGACTATGCCCTTGGCAGTGTCCTCAGTGGAACCTGAGAGCAGAGAACCTGGGAGCAGCCTGTGAGTAATGAGCATCTCCTTTCTAAGAGGAGGGACCCTCGAGCACCAGACAGACCTATGAGGCAAGCTTGGGCCTGACTCTCTGTGGCCCCCACCACCAGAGTATTTCCATGGTGACCAAGTTACACAGGACAAACAGCAACCATGATCTTGGAGCCACCTAGGCCCCTCCTTTCAGTGCCATCCCCAAAGGGCCCACCCAAGCAGAAATGCCCAAGTTTGCCTCGGGGCACCAGCACCACCATGAGCAAGGCTGCATCTAGGTGCACATCTGTGCTGGCCTCTCAACCTGGCAGCTCAGCTGGACCAGCCACCAGACCATCCTCTTCCAGGTCAGGACCCACTCCTGTGGGGTCCAAGAGAAAACTCTTTTGCTAAGATGACATCCACCTTCTCCCACATGGGACCTGGTGGCAGACTGCTTAGATGCATAGCACAGGTCTCACCCTGACCTCTGTGATCCTGGGGCAAAGTGGAGGCTCAGAGACATGATGTCCCCTTCCCTCTCACTTCCTGGCAGCTTTGCCCTCAGAGTTGGGTAGCAGGAGCCTTTCATTTTACTTGGCTCTCTGGTCAGGCTCCTCACTACTACAGAGGCCCTGTCCTGGCTCTCTGGTTTCCTTGTTGTTTGAGCATCTGGGAGTTCTCTGTCCTTAGGCCATTTGCTTGGATGGGGAAATTTGAAATTGGCTTGTGGTCCAGATAATGAGAAGGGATATGAGGTGCACAGAGGAACCACAATGTTTGGAAGGTCTCCTTCATAATATGTAAGTATAGGAAATATTAAGCCCAGACTACTCACTAGAAAGAATTTTCACAGAGTGCTCTGCTTATAGCTATAAATCTGTGACCAAGAAAAAATTATTTTCCCACTCTAACAGAGCATGGCCTCTGTATGGGCCAGAATCAAGAGAAAAATGGCCTTTAAGGAGGTCACTGAATTATTAGTCTTATGCAAATAGAATTGTTTTGTCAAAGACCAGGAAAATGGGATGAAATACGTAATTTTTTTATTCTACATAAATAAGCCTGTTCTAGACTCCTGGTGGGAAGACCTCCAGAGGCCTCTGCCACCTGGTGGGGGAGAGTGGAGAGCCACAGGGTGGGGTGGGTGAGCTGAGCCAGTGAGGTGCATGGGCTGCAGTCCTCCAGGGACCCTCAGTTGACCTTCACAAGAGAATCACAGAGGACAGGGTGGCTGAATCAGGAAGGCTGGAGGGATTTTCAGGTAAGTTTAAAATAAATCTCACTGTGGGGAAGTGGGGCAAAGAGGAGGTGAGTCAGATGCCCCTTGGCTACCACTGGACAAAGGGGAGTGAGCAGAGGAAGGGTGTGCCACCCTGCCTGCCTCAAGGTCACCTGGGGTATGGAGCTCGGGGCAGAGGCCTTCACAGGCCCACATTCCCAGCTACCTAGACCACTGGACCTTGAACCCAGATTCCTGAAGGTGACAGGAGCCAGGGGCTCACCTCCTGCCAGGTACCATCCTGCATGTTCCAGCTGCTACCAGCAACTCAGGTTTCAAGCTCCAACCAGGTCATCACCCCCTTATAGAAGCTTCCTAGACTTTTTATACCCCAAGTGGGGACCATGTGGTGCCCCATCCATGTTCTACTAACACCTCTTCTTGTTACTTGTCACAAGAACCCAAACTGTCATTCAGTCGCTCAGTGTTTCTCCAGTGTCCCCTGCATGCCAAGTGAGATAGAAAGACATAAACTAATCCATGTGAATGAATAGACAGTGACAACCTGAGGCCAGTTCTCTACAGCAAAAATCCTTGGTCCTCTGAGAACAAATAACCAAAAACCAGGCCTGACAGGGTAGTAGAGAGGGCAGGGAGGGCTTCCTCAAGGGGGTGATGGCTCAAGATCTGAAATAGAAGTAGAAATTACTTCTCTGGGCCTCAGTTTCTCCAGCTCTAAAGCAGGGAGATCCTGTGTGTCACCCACCACTGCCCCTACAGAGCCGACCTGGAGTTCAAGTTAAGACAGATGTGGGGACAAGGTGCAGGGAAAAGAGCTACATGGAAATGGCCAGCAGCTTTGAGCATTTTGTCTTGTTATGGGCGAGGCAGGGAGGAGGTGAGAGCTGGGAGGGGTGGAATAGGGCCAGTGGAGGTGGTGAGAAGGGAGGGTTTGGGGAAGTTCAAGGCACAGACTCAAAGACAGTTGGAGGATGGAGCAGGGAGGGGTGGTGTCTCCCTGCCAGACCTGGCTCGTTCCATGGTGTGGCCCAACCTTCTTTTCCTTCTGAATCCTGTCCCCCTCCATCCCTGCACCCCCAGCTGCTCACAGGTCATTCCTCTGCCTGACCCACACACTCCTGCTGCCTGGCCTTGCTCATGCAGTCCCCTCACTCGATCCCCTCCCTCTCCTATTGGTCTCCCCCTCTGGACGAATTCCCCAGCCACACCCATCTCTTCATTCTTCTCTGAGCCCCCCACCCCAACTTGATGGGTCCCCCCCTTCCAAGCTCCCGGCATCAGGCCTCCCCTGCAGGGTTCTGCACATGAGGCTCTGGAGCCAGATTTCCAGAATTCCAGTCCCAGCTCTTCCAGGCAGGACCTTGACTAACTCATAATTCATGTCCTTTCCCAGAGCCTCACCTTTACCACCAGGGAAATGGGTGATATGATTCCCTCTGTAAATATATGCAGCCTGGTTCATGGAGGTATTGATGCTCCGAGGTGGAATTCAGGGTTCCTGTAAGGGGGCGCCTTTTGGCACTTAAAGGAGTGGCCCTCGTGGCTCCAAGAACAGAGTTGGTTTTCGTCCCCTGTAAAGTGACCACTATAGGGATGGTCTAGTTAGTGGCGCTGAATATGTCGAAGCCCCATTTACCCTGTAAATGCTGTCTCATGTTTCTCTTTCCTTTACTTGGGGAGGAGATGAACAGAACCCCAAAGACAGATATGAGATCCGGGAGCTAGTTTGGGCTCCCAGGTTCCTGGATTGCATGGGGACAAACTTACAAGTCAAGGTGGCCTTTCTGAAGGTGGTGATGGTTCCTCCCAGGAGAGCTTCAGGGGTTCTGCACGGTCAGGCTTTGGGGGACGGCATGAATTGCACAAACATCAGTGGTTGCTTACCCTGGTTTGTATTTTGCCTTCTCTCCCTTGGTCCTCATGGTGGTGCTCTGCCTAGGGGCAGGCCCTGGAGCTGTTCTATCCCAAACTTGCCCCATGGTGTTCTCTGGTTTGGGGGGGTCCCTCTACTTTTTTAGCAGATGCCCATTTCTGCCATGGGAGATGGAAGAACTGGGGACAAATCTGTCCTCCAAGTTGCAATTGAGGCAACTGACACTGGCAGCATTAAGGGGGATGAATCTTGGTTGTCCCATGCTGACTGGGGCTGCCTGTTCTTGGGACAAACACTGTTCACAGTCCCTGGCCTCTGAGTAGCAGCTGCAGAGGCTGATGGACTAGTTGATCCAGTGGACTTGCAGCCTGGCTGCCAGCAGAATGTGTGTGGGTGCTGGCACGGGCCCCCACGGTGGGATTTCTACGTCTGTCAGCACCAAGGGCTGAGTGGGTTGGGCTGCCCAGGCTGGGGGCCTGCTATCAATGGTGGGAATGGAGCTACCCCTGGACCTGGAGATCCCAGGTGTCCAAACTACTGACAGCTGGCAGAGGTGGGGGCTCTGGGCTTCTTCCTGTCAGAAACCCCAGGTGGGATGGTGGCTCCAGGGATGAGGGGCTTCTTCCCTCGGGGAGCGTGTTTAGGTACCTTTCAAGACGGCAGACTGAGGAATCAGACCAGAGACTCTGCGTCTAATAGAAGATAAAGTTGGTCCTCATCTTCATCTCGTGGGGGCAGGCCCCAAATTCCTTAATAAGACTCCTATAGCACAAGAGTTAAAACCAAGAATCAACAAATGGGACGAATTCAAACTGAAAAAGTTTTTTCTCAGCAAGAGAAATAATATGCGAGGTGAATAGGGAGCCTACATCCTGGGAACCAATTTTTACCCCTCAAACATCAGATAGAGCTCTAATCTCTAGAGTGTACAAAGAACTCAAAAAGTTAAACAACAAAAAAGCAGATAACCCAATCAACAAATGGCCCAAGGACTTGGACAGAAACTTCTCAGAAGAGGACACACCATCAATTAACAAATACATGAAAAAATGCTCACCATCTCTAGCAATCAGAGAAATGCAAATCAAAACCACCCTAAGATACCATCTCACTCCAGTCAGAAAGGCAGCCATTATGAAGTCAAACAACAATAAGTGCTGGCGAGGATGGGGGGGGGGGGGTAAGGTACACTCATACATTGCTGGTGGGACTGCAAATTGGTGCAGCCAATTTGGAAAGCAGTATGGAGATTCCTTGGAAAGCTGGGAATGGAACCACCATTTGACCCAGCTATTCTCCTTCTTGGATTATACCCAAAAGACCTAAGAAGAGCATA